CAGAAGGGCAGCTATTCTGTCATGACTTTGATGTGTAACTCTCCCAGGTAGTGCTCAAATGCCCAGCCTGGGCTTGCCAAAACTCTGGCATATGCCTGAGCACAAGGTGGAATCCTGGCAGTTGTTTCTGAGAGTACTGGTGGCTCTCAAGAACAAGCCTCATGCCTGGTTCTGGTTGGGCTGGCCTGAAGGGCTAGACTTTCTGAAGCTCCTTCTGCTCCAGGTGCTGTGGCTCCTGTGCTGGGCTGGGGGCCTGCAGCCAGAGCTGCCATCACAATGTCAGCAGAGAGGGAGAACCGGAGGGTCCCTGCCCTCCAGAGCTTACACTCTCGGGGACATCTTGATTATTAGTAAGACAGGTCAACAGAGACAGCCCAGTCCTGGAGGAGGAGGCAGAGCTGTATTCCCTGGTCTCTGGCAGAGATTTGGGCACAGGAAAAGGACTGGGCACCTGGGCTTTTTGGGAACAGGCTGCTGAATCCCAGAGCAGGATGCTCTGAGCAAGGCTGACATTACCAGAAAACATAGGGAGGACTGAGAAGAGCTCAAGTAGGAACTGGGTTGGCGTGAGCTTTCCCTGCTGTCATTGCTGCACTGGGTGGAGGCTGGGCTGGGGTCTGTGAACTGCAGATTCTCACCTCCTTTTGACGTGCTTTGCTCACCTCTGCTTTCCTGATTCCCCTGGACATCAAATATGCAGCTCTGTATTGCAAGTAGTCTATTAAGCAAGCAATTCCCAGTGCTGCCTCTAATAAGAAGGAGCTGGGTCTGGGGAGCCCTTTGTAATGCTCAGGAGCCGGCGTGGCTATCAGCTGAACGCTTGGCAATTAGATGAATAGGTTTCACTGGGGCTTTTGAGTCTCTGGCTTGCAAGGCACAAAGCTTTGTTTAAGGCTGATCAAGGGCAGCTCATCATCTGTCTCGCTGGCTGTCAAATGGGAACTAATTGCCTTGTAATGCATGAGTGACACAGGCGTTTGTGGGAGGAACTGGCTTGTCAGAGGTGTGACAGCTGTCAAGGCTCTCCCACCCAGCTGTGCTCCCTGCACAGACCCCGAGACTAGTAGTCCTCTCTGAAATGGAGCTTGCTGCACCTCCTCAGGCCCTCAGCTGGTGGCTGAATCCTTTTGCTTTACGACACAACCCCCATGCTGTCCTCAAAGAATGAGAAGCCTGTATCAGCCACAACATTGCTGCTGCTGGTGCCCCTTTAGGATGTGTCCCTATGGAGAAGAAATGCAATCCCCCTCTCAGGGACCGGGAACATGATGGGAACAGTTCCTCTGGGCTTGTACACGGATGCTGGTGCAGGAGCATGTCCGTGGGAAGGGAATGGATGAGGGCTCTCAGTTGTCTCATCCCAGAGCCCTGTGTGAAGCAGAGGCCATGAGTGACCATTAGACCTGCAGATGATGGTGCACCCACTTCTCTCTATTGGTCCAATCTTTGCTTGGGAGGCCCCTCTCATACAACACCAACCAATTAAACCCTCAGTGATGTACATTTGCAGGGGGAACTGAGCCCGGGTGGCTGATTAAAGGTGTTGACTGCCATCCAGATATGCCTCCTGCCTTCCCCATCACACATGCACGAAAACACAGATGCTCCTCTCTGCTCCTCACCCTCTCCATCAAAAATGTTTCCCTCCCCAAGCCCCAGTAGCTAATGCAAAGGGCTGGAGGATGTTCTGGAAATCAGCAAATCTCTGCTGGGTCATGTCAGAGAGAGGTGGCAACCAGTCATTTTGAAAGCCCCCTTCTGTGCTATGCCTGTTGTTGCTTCCCAGTGTTAGCCTGGATTTGCAGCAGTGCTGAGCTCAGCATCAGCTGTACTGCCAGCAAGGAGCAGGGGTGGCTTGCAGAGAGTGGGGTGAGCCAGGGTGGGACATGTGGCACAGAAGCAGAGCAGAGAGGGTGGTAGGAAACAGGGACAGGGTTGAGCAAGCAGCCTGTTCCTCCCAGGGGATCTCTTCTAGTCCCTGCCTCATCCTGTGGGCTTTGACTGTGATGACCCTGGAGCGCAGACCACAGGAGACGTGAGGGCATGGGCATGGCTCTGGGTAGGAAGACCTGGAGCTGGGCATTGTGTCTGCTGGTGCCCCCCTTTCTGCTCCCCCTTCTGCTGGGATGGGGATCCAACCTGGCTCCCATCAACAGCCCACTCCTGTGTTCTGGCAGCTTTTCCCATAGCAGATACTCTAAGGCTGCTCTGAAATCCCCCCCATAGCTCTGTGGCTTGGTGCCAGAGCTCACGCCAAGAGCAGCCTGCCCTGCTGGTGCTGACCCTGGTGTCCCCAGGGGTGACAGGGCTTGATGTCTGCTTCCATGCTGCCGGCAGCACTGTACAGCCCTGGTGAGATGCCGAACTCCTCCTGCCCACTCTGGTGTCTGCCATGTCCAGGAGCACTGAGGCATCACTTTTTCTAACCAGTTCCCACAAATGTTCCTGGGATGGGACCCCTCAGCTCATTGTGCCCCATGTTATGGACAAACCTCACCTGGACCACAGGGTCTGGCCAGGAGTCAAGAAGGACACAGGCTGTCTTGAGGAAAATAATGTAAAAGTGATGCAGATCAAGTGACTTGAAGCACCATGGAAAAGTAACAGGTTTCTCTTGAGGCAAGGGCCTGCCAACCTCCCTGAGCATCTCTCTGGAGCCTGTTCCTACCCTCTGGTGCCCCAGGAAGGCCTCGCACCAGCTGAAATGCTGCAACAAGAGCAGAGCTGCACCCCACACTGCAGCTTCGCACAGCCGAACCTGTCAGCTCTGCTCCAGCCTTCAGAAGCCATTTGCAGAAGCAGCATCTCCAGAACAATGCTCCTCCCTGCCACCCAGGGCCCTTGCACACCTTTTCCAGGAGAGGCACAGACTGCAGATCATGCTTTGGTAAAGGCAGCCGCAGGTGGAGCCTGGCCGCACCAAAAGTGTCCCCAGGTCTGCAGGTCTCTGCAGTGGGAAGCCAGCACCAGCTCATTTTTGGATGAGACAGAAAATCGGCTCTTGCCTCTCTTTCCTCCTGGGCTTTCCCAGTGCTGGAAGGTCAGAGCAGGCCTTGACATTCCTTGCTGTCTTGAGACACTGACCCTGGCACCACATCCTGGCAAAATTACATCCTGGGGCAAAGCACTTGCCTTCCTTGCTTCCCACCATGGGGTATTCAGAGGAGCCTCCTCCAGCAGCACTGCAGGTGGGCACGGCAGTCCCGCTGAGGAGCACAGGCAGCCCTGACTCATCCTGGAGGTGCTGGGTGCTCCGGCCGTTGGGGAAGGGAGGTCTTGGCATGTGAGCCAGCTCTGACCAGACGTTTTGGTGAAGAGACCCACTCTGCTGTGACGCTGGGAGCTGCCTCTTCGGAGAGACAGCCTGGCTGGTGGGAAACACCAGCTGAACGGGGCTGCCTGCAGTCTCACCTCTAGTCTGGGGGATGGAGTCAATCCTGACTAACGTCGGAGGGTGATCCCAGGCTCTTGTCCGGTACAGTAATTACTAATCAAAAGAGAAGGGCCAGGAATGAATAATGCCGGTATCCAGCACCAGGTGGGGCATCTGGAGCTGGGTATAATGCTGCCGTTCGCTCAGTGCACCAAGGCTGCAGGGTGCTGGGCTCTGGGGCTTGGGAAGGCTTGTTAGTGCCTCGAAACTCAGAGCAAGACCTGTTTTTACCCTGTACCAGGGATGTTGGGGTCTCTAATTTATATACACCTGATGGAGAGGGGCAAACAGGACTCGATGCATTAGATACCTATGTGGCTGCTGCAGTTCTGTCTCTGGAAGAGAAAGCTGTTGGAGCCAGCCCAGCCAAAGGATGAACTCCCAGCATCTCACTGTCAGAAGATTTTAAAAGACTACTCTCTGGGCAGCAGCTCAAGGGCTGGGTGCACCAGGGTGATGCTGTCTGCCCGTTACCTCTTCTGCCCTGCCCGCAGGGGAAGGGAGCGGGGTGTGAAGGCCGTGAGCCCAACACACAGCACCACTCTGCCTCTGCACAGAGCTGAGCTGTCTCCTGGAGCCATGCTGGTGAGCCCCATGTTCGGCACGCTGCTGCCTGGGCTGTGATGCTCAGGTCTGGGCTGGCCAGGGTCCTGCCCTCACCGGCTGCGGCTCAGGCCCCTGGCTGGGCAGGGTCAGACCTGCCTGGGACCCTGCTGGGCAAAATCACAAACCCTGTGGATCTGGAGGGGGCAAATTCACACCATTCACCTTTTCCCCCAGATCACATCCCTCAGACCTGTTTCTAGGAGTCCTGCCCTGTGCAGGAACCTGCAAAGAAGTTCACGGTGAACCCCAGAGCCTTTCCAAACCTCCATCACTGAGGGACGGAGGCAGATGCCTTCTGTCCTCCCTCCTCCCATCAGCCCCAGTTTCTGCCTCTGGCTGAAGGGGCTGCAGAGGTCAGGGTATGCTCAGACTCTGGGGAAGCCAGTGCAGAGTCCCTGATAGACATTTTTGTGCCCAAGAGTTTCAGAGAGGTGTCAGACCCGTCGACTACAGCCTGGATTGGGGTAATAAGAGATGCATAGTGGAGAGGAGAAGGAAGATGAAAGCTATTTTTAATGTAGGGCAGCAGGGCTGCTTGCCTGTGCTGCAGGTTCCCGCCGCACCTGCAGCCCTGCAGGACTTCAGGCAGAGAGGGCAGCCAGTGCTCCTGGGCAAGGTGGGCGTCCCGCAGCCTCAGCAACCCAGGCTTGGGTTCGGCTCGACCGAGGGAAGACTTTGAGCTCTCCCAGACTGCATCAGCCATGCCAGCTAGATCCCAGCGACCAGAGCCTGTCTGCCGTGTCAGTGCCCGTATCCGGAGAGCCAGCCCCAGCCATCCCAGCGCCATGCCTGGCTGCTGGCCTCCCTGTTTGGCACAGAGCTAGCCCCCATAGGCCCACAAAAGTCTTGAACCACCGTGGCTGGGGATACAGTTACCTGAGCCCAGCCAGGCATCCCTGGTCCCCGCTGGCCTCATGCCCCCTTCCCCTCCACCTCCCCGCCGCACACCGCTGGCACTCACTGCTGTTGGTGGGCAGGGTCCTGCTGCCGCTGAGGCTGCCCGCCGGCGGGGGGGAGATGGAGCGGACGGAGCCCGTGTCCTCTTCCTGGGAGCAGCCTGCCTGGATGGCTCGGAGGTAGCTGTGGCTCCGGGAGCGGAAGTAGCTGGGCAGAGGCAGGTCCAGCACCTCTGCAGCGGCCGACTCGGCCTCGCTGTAGGTAGCGTCGCAGACCGCCTCGTACTGCTCCCCCAGCTCTGGCTCTGGCGCCTGCACGGGAAGAGGGGCAGAGCCAGTCACCCCCTGACTGCAGGCAGCCCTTTCCCTTCCTCTCCCGCTCCTCTCCCTGCAGCCACCCCGCTGCCACTCCTGCATGGTCCCGTTTATGGTAGACGAGGCCGGGAGGTGGAGCGGTCGGTGCTGGTGGGGTGCAGGATGCCCAGTCTCTGCTGAGAGAGAGGGAAGAGGGGACCCTCCTTGGAGGTGAGAGTGTCCCTGCTTGTGGAGTAGGAAAGACTTACCACTGCAGTGCCTGTGAAACACCCCCTGGTCTCTGACGGAGAGGCCGAGAGCATGTGCAGCTAAAATCCCTGTCCATCCTCTGACAGGTCCCCCTGCCCCACCAGCACAGCTGGGAGACCCCAGCCTCAGCTGTGAGACCCTGCTGGGCCAGCCATGCTCCTTGGTGGGAGGAGATGGCCTGGTGCTGCAGCAGGGTGAAGTGTAGAGGGAGAAGGTGGGGAAGTGTGGGCTGGGGGGACAGCCTCCACGCTTGACCAGGGACACGCTGCCTGGACTGGTTCTGGGTGGCACCATCGGGAACCCATCCTAGCCCCATCTGTGGGGGGGGACACCAGGAGAGGGCTTGGCAGCAGGCTGTGCTGAGATGTGAGCCAAGCAGGGGCAGCTTCGCTCCCTGCTTCTCCTGCTGCCCCCCACCTCCCTCCCACCCATGCCCCCAGCCCTGCCCTGCTCTCCAGTAGCAGTGGTTGGTCAAACTTGGACTCAGGAGAGGCTTACTCAGGTTAAATCAGAGCCAGCCTAAAGCAGAGCAGTCTGAAATACGGATAAGAGATGCTGAGATTGGCCCTGTTGCTCACTTCCATCTCTCCTGGCCCTTTTTTTGGTCTCGGGGAAGTACTTCAGCTCAGCATTGTCAAATGAGCTCCACAAGGTTTGGCTCAAAAAGTTCATCTACTTTCCCCCTAAAACTGATGGTCCCAACCCCCCCACCGGGGCCAGGGGAACCAAGCTCTCCAGCTGCCCTGCAGTGCCCAGGTGGGGAATGCTGCCTTCTCCTCCTCGTCCTCCTCTTCCTCCTGCTGCTGGCCCTGGGTGTGGGCTGACCCCACAGCCTGCCTCACACCCTGCCATGGGTGTCCAGGCTGACCCGAGAAAGCTCTAGGACAAAGGAAGAGGGAAACACCAGTGGGACGGTACCTGCTCTCCATGGGTAAATATCTGAGGGATAAGTGAGGGGGGTCCAAAGATCTGGAAGAAAGAGTTGGAGAAGGTTAAAGGCCAAGAACGGGGGAGCCCCTCACACAGACAGCCATTGCACAGGGATCAAGGACGAGGGGAGTGGCCGGCCTGTCCCCTGGGGCCACGGCTGCTGACACTTCAGAGCTCGTAAGATGCCAAGCGAGATGCCACACAGGCCCTCAGACAGTGGCGCAAACGGGGCATGGCAAAGCTCCACGGGACACCTCCCAGACGAAGAGAAGCTGCTGATGCATTCAGCCTGTTGTATGCACCATATATCAATATATATACACAGGGCACACTTGGGACACACAATGCTGGGACACCCCTTGGCACGCATGGGTTGCCTGTGGCTGCTGGACGAGGGCTGGTGTGGCTCTGAGCACCTCTGCGAAGCCCCCAGCATTGGCCAGTACCTTGCAAAATGGCCAGGAGAAGCGATGGGTGGCTGCAGCCCACAGAGCCAGGGTAGATGGGCAGTCTGAGTGCTCCATGTTGGCAAAACTGTCCTTCACCCTGCTGGGGTCGGGCTGCCCACCTCGCTGCTATCTCCTCTGTCCCCATGCCAGGAAGCCACACGGAAGCAATACCGCCTTCCCTCCATAGCAAAGCCACAGCACACACTCGGCATAAGGACAGACGCCCAAAAGACACTGCACTGCCTGTGGGGAGGAATGCCTTCTCCTCCTCTCCATCCCTGGTCTGCAGAGCACATCTACCCTATGAGCTCTGCCCTGTGCGAGCTGCCAAAAATGACCCATCTTGGGAAGAATCCTGGTTCAAAATGTACCCAAGGGAAGATGTTTGGCTCTGGGGACTTGGTCCGGCCCTTCTACACAGGGCACAGCTCAGATTGTGGCTCTCTGCTCACTGGTCCCCTTGGTGTGACAGGCGGATGCTGACATGCACACCCAGTGAACCCTGCACTTCCAGAAGTTTGCAAGGTGGAGGTCAGCTGGGACAAAACAAAACGGAGTAGACTTGTCTTCCAGAGCAGGGAATGCTCCTGTGCAGGGAGGACACGAGGCTCTTGCTGGACACACAAGGAAGGTGTTGGAAGTCACACAAAAATGAGGGCAGGGGAGAAACTGCCTCTGGCACTGGTTAAAAGGGCAGATCAGGCCCACCAGAGGATGAGACCAGCACACACTGGTGGCTGTACCAGCTCCATCCTGGATCAACAGATACGCATTTTGTGGGAGGGCTCTAAATCCCAACCCAGCTGCAACTGAACTCTCTCTGAATTGGAGGAAAGTGGTCAGAGTGCATGTGATGATGGCAGCCCCGCACTTGAGCAGGTGCTGTGGCAGTCGGCATGTCCCCAGTGTCACACTGCTAGCAGTCTGGGACTGGGATGTTTGCCTGGGCAGCTCCTGGCACATCGTGGGCTGCTCAGACCCTCCAGCACGAAGACTCTTCTGATGTCTTCACAGGGGTGCTGTACGCAGCTGCTAAATGGCAGCTTTAGATGGGGAGAAAGCACAGACTCAGCCCACCCCGTGTCTTCACGCAGAGACCTGGCTTCAGACATGGATTTACATGCAAAGGACAAGAATGTGACGGTCCTGACCCCTTCTCTGTGCAATTAGACACCCAGGACATTGCTGTTGATGTACAAGGAACAAGACTGACCACAAGGAACATGTATGCCCGCAAGCAATGCCCTGCGCCTTCCCCCCAAAACTCTCCACCAAGGGCTCCAACTGCTCTGTGACAGCAGGAGAAACCAGCCATGGGGCTGGAGAGGCTGGGCTGGGCTGGAGGAGGGCTCAGAGCCCCACACACCTGGAGGGGATGCCGGCACACTCCACTCACCCTATTCCATGCTCTGGTTCATGATGGTTTAAACCCCGTCTCACGCTGCCGCCCTCGATCATTGCGCACAGACGGAGCGGAGCAGCACAGAAGGCACACGTGTGTGCACGTGTTCCCATGCAGACGGGACGTGACGGAGGCCCAGGGCAACAGTAAAACAGCTGGGAGAAGCTTGTGGAGCCCTTGCTGCCCCGGGGACCTCTACCTGCACACCAAAAGGATGAGTCCCAGTCCCGGGGCTGAGATAAACACATGGGGACTCTGCAAAGGCCTCATCCTGGCATGGATTATTTCCTGGCCTGTGAGGCAGCTGGCTTATAGCTACCCAAGACCCAGGCTGCTCTAGAGTAATCCCAAGGGGAGGCGTAGTGTAGGACAGGGAGTTAAACCCCGTTTCCACCGATTGCATCCCAGAGGTCAGGGTCAGGGCATGAGCCCGCCCTGTGGCACGGGGTCTGCCACTTCTTATCAGCACCTCACCGGCATCCCTGGCTTTGCCACTACGAGGGGACCGGGAATATTCAAGGGAGAGAACCCCAGCTAGCTGGCAGGACAGTCTGCCAAATTACAGGCACCTTGTTCCTGGGTCCAGACTGCTGCACGAGGGATGAGGTCCTCAGAGCTAAGCAGGGTTACTGTCCCCGGTGACCTGCTGCAGGGTCCCAGGCTGGATGCCACCATTTGCCCATGTGAGGTTGGCCCGGGCTCTGTACCCACCCAGTGGGCATGAGGAGCTCACAGCAGGAGTGAGCAGCCTTGCAGGTGGCTTCTGAGTGGTGACACTTTGGGACCCTGTGCTCAGAGCAGCCCTGAGCCTCACCTACTACTGTGGAGCATTGCCTCAGGCTACCATACCTGTGGCCATGACTTCAGCTGCACCAGGAGTGCTGAGAGGAGGCAAAGCTAGAGGAAGGGGTGTCTACTATGAGTCAGAATTAAGGAGCTGGCCTTGATACGTTGGTAAAGCTGTCAGAGAATAGTGTATGCAATTCCTGGAGCGCAGCCTGCACCTTATTTTGAAGGGGGAAAAAGATCTTCCTCTCTCCCCTCAGCCGGCCTCCTTCCTCACTGGGGTGCGCTGGTGCAGCGGGGCTCAGCGCTCCAGCATCTCACCTGGTTGATACAACTGGACTCGTTGACGCTGTCAGAGATCTGGTTGTATTCTTCCTCCCAGGTTGGGAACTTCGGAGGTAGCAGGATCTCGACAGAGTCCAGGCGGTCCAGGCTCCTGCCAGCAGAGAAAGAGGGTGTGAGGGGTGTCCCCATGGCAGGGGCAGCACTGGGGCTGTGCTGGAGCTGCCACCCTGCCAGGACAGCCAGAACACCCCTGCCCATGGCACTCTCTGCCAGGCACAGGCAAATGTGGCAGCACAGAGATGATGCTGGGCACCGAGTTCACTGCTCAGCCCCTGTTGCAGCTCCTGGAGTAGAAGGAAGCACCTTTTCACCTTGCCAGCCCCTGGCTTGAGCTACTGAGTCTAGCACAGGGGTGAAGATTTGTGGGGTGCAGGGGAAGGAGAGGTGACAAGACTCTGTCCCCAGGAATGCGCTGCAGATGCCAGTTAGTCCAGCTGAACCCCAGGGAGCACATGGGATCCATGCCAGCCCCCAGAGTCACATCCCTGGTGACCAAGCAGCTCTCGCACAGGCTGATGCTGGGGCTGGGTGAAGCTGGTTCTTCCCTGCCTGAAATGGTGGGAAGGGGGTGTGAGAGGTGGGGTGACAAGTGACTTGTAAATGGTGTTTTGTGGACTTTGAAATTGGAAACATCTTCAGGATCTCTTTTTTTTTTTTTTTTAATTGTGTAGAGGAACCTGAAAGATTATCTGGAAGAAGCTCAAGGGGAGCCAAGCCTGCATGACAGTGCTGCAGGAGCAGGGGTGGGTATTGGTATTTCCAGAGCAGCTTTTGCTGCAGGCTCTGGGAGAAGCACTGTCCCGGTGCCCGGGGCTCAGGAGCAGCCTCTGCAGCAGAAGAGCAGGACTGTCACTGAGCCCGACCCAGCCAAGACCACAGCTACAGTCTCAGCTGATACCTGGGCACAGAGGGGCCAGGAGGGATGTGGAAGGATGGGAGGGATGTGGGAGGAAGAGGAGGGGTTTGGAAAGGATGGTACTCCCCCATTCTTCTGTTCCACCACACGACCCTGTGTGAAAGAGTCCTTGTCACAGGCCAGGCAGGGCATGGTGGAGGACACGGTTAGCCATGCCAGCCTGGGCAAGCTGTGGCGACTCTCCCTCTTGAATTGCCCATGGTCCCCACAGAGGACCCTCGGGGTGCCACTTCCCCCACATCTGGCAGGGCTGTGGGTGCAAAGGTCTCTCCTTCAGCAGCCTGGGAGACAGTGAAGCTGAGGGCAGGGTGCATCCCAGCTGGGCAGGAGCCCTGGGCAGTGTGTGGACCTCAAGGAAGGACTGTGGTACCTCCTGAGCCTCCGTCCTGGGGTATGATGAGATTGGGGAGTAATATCTTCTGCCAAGGGTGATGCAGGAGACACCCAGCCCCCAGGGGACACCCTGCCGAGTGGCCAAGGGCAATGTGCTGTCCCAAGTCCTGGGCCATCCATTTATTGCCTTGTTTCCCTCGGCCTGAGAGGGTTTTGTCCATGAGCTCATTGTACACCCATGGTGTGAGTCAGTTGTGTCCTGGGGCAGGCAATGTCCCTGCCAGCATCCCTGTGTCCATCCCATTGAGCTTCACCCTGACTTACACTTGCAGCCTGCCCGCGGGAAAACCGAGTCACAAAGCAGACAACAGAAGCTGGAAGGATAGAGACCTTCTCACAGGGACAGATCCTGACTCACTCCTCTGTGCCTTGTCCTGGCTAAGGGTGCAACTGTCCTCCCTGCAGCCCCTCCCGTCCCAAACCACTGGTCTGGTGGCCCTCAGCTGGTGGAGCCCAGAGATGGCCCCAGTAGCTCTGGCCAAGGAGACTGAGGATCTTGGCGAGTGCTGGCATGAGGCTGTGCCAGGGCACGGTGCCCCCGCCGCTGTCCCAACGATGTGTCAGGCTGGCGGGGCACCCCAGGGAGGCCCTGCAGCAGCCAAAGTGGCCACAGCATCCAGAAAGCTGCTTGGTGAGGGGGAGAGAGGGGAGGGGGTGGTCAGCAGATGGCAGCCGTGCTCATGCTCCGGCGCCAGCTCGGCTGGCTCTCCGGCCCATTCCTGTGCCCGGCACAAGCCCTGGCCAGCATGGGACAGAAGGGACTGGCACACCAGGATGGGATTCCCCCCCCTGGAGCTCAGCGCTGAGAGCTGCGGAGCCCTCTCCTTCCCGGGCAGGATCCTTCCCTCCAGGGAATCTCCTGCTGTGGACCCAGCACTCGCAGCAAGGGCTGTGTCCAGCCCAGCCCTGCCCAGACCACTCTTCTCCCATGCAGCTGCATCTGCGGCTGGGCTGGCTCTGCCCCTCCAGCTTAAACACCCTAAACACCCTGCCCTGATCTAACCCCTTCCTCAGAGCTGCCTGTCCGTGGGCTCTGACTAGACCCCTGCAGCCCTGGTGAGGTCCTACCCTGATGAACATGACCTGAATGGACAATGAGCTCAAGACAGGAAGACCCTCGGTCTCTCAACTTGGTTATTTTGCACCAGAGGCCCCTGGACCCAACTCTGTCCCCCCCAGAAGTGGATATGAATGCAGGGAACAGGAATGGGTTCAGAGGAGGCATTCCCAGGGCGCCCCGCAGATAATTTTGTCACCATCTCTCAGCAGAAAGCAACATCTGCTCTGCAGTCTGAAGCCACCATGAGGGGTCTCCACACTGCCTGCTGCACCCTCACTGCCTTCTGCCTCTGTCTCCTGAACATCATCAATCCCTCTGCGGTGGCTCCCACCTCCTCCTGCCCTTCTGTGCTGCTCACATCCTCCCGAGCTGCAGCATCTGAAACACTGACAGACTGTTACAGCCCCTGGGTGCCTTGTCCTGGGAAGTGGAGCAGCAGGTGGTCCACATAGACTCCATCTTGCAAGGACCAGCCTCTTGCCCAGCAAGCTTTTGCTGTGTTCCCCTTGCTCTGCTGTCTCTCTTCTGGCTCAAGTCACCAAGGGTCTTCCTCCCCCAATACCTGGTCCCAGACCTGCTAGCTCATCTCTCCTGGCCTCAGGGTATTACCCAGCCTAGTGTGCCAACGGGGCACTTTCTGGCTGGTCCCAGAGTCCCCGGGACACCTGCGGAGCAAATCAGATGGCACGGTCCCAGCAGCGTGTGGGCTGCGTGCCAAGTGTCCTCAGCCATGCTGGCTGAGCATCTTCCATATCTAAACAGCATCGTGCGGTTGGGATCTCTGCACTCCCTTGGAGGAGTAGATGCTTAGAGGAGAAATCCACGCAGCTCCATCAAACGAGTGCCTCCCTGGCACTGCGGGGGCAGGGACCTGGAGCAGACTCCCATCGCCAGGGCTATCGGGAGTCACCAGGAATGAAAGCTCTCTCCATTCCCCTGCCACATCTCGTCCTGTCCTGCTTGTCTCCTCACCTGCCTGCCCTGTGGGCAGTCTGAGCTGGTGTTCAGGAGCCCTACTGGGATCTGATCCCCCCCCCCCCCCCATGGGGTCTCCACGTGCGTGCTGCTGGCTAGACCCCAGGGACCGCTTCTGGGGTGGCCCCTGGGCCCTGTGCAGAGATCCCGGAGGGGCTGCACCGTTACCTTTGTGTGGTGCTCTGCTCACTCAGGGACTGTTGGGTGGCCTTGAGGTAACTCTGCCTCCGAGCTGCAGTTTTCGGGGATGGTTTGGGGCTGGTTTCTGAGTCTTCACTATCATCATCCCCCATGGCTTTGATGTAACTCCCGCTCCGCATGCGCCGGCACGGGATCTCGCTGTCTTTCTCCCGAGACAGCGTGTTGTTCCACTCCCCTTGAGGCACCTACAAGAGTAAGGGAAGCATGAGCAGAAGTGAGGGACAGCACCTTTGGGATTAGTGGGATTATGGGGACTTGGGGTGATTGGTGGCAGGGACAACTGTTGGAGCTTCAGCTGGAATGTAGAGGGAATGGGCAACGCAATTCCTTTCCGACCCTCCCTTACCAGTTCATGCCAGGCAGCCCTGTGTTTGATCGCCTCTGTTTCAGCACATGTACCCACAGCCATTCACCCCACCACCACTGCAGACCACCTTCACTCTGGACCATGCTTACACAGTTGATAAAAGCTGCACAATGCCAGACATAACGGGAAGGGAAGAGTCTCACCAGATTTGCGCTGGGCATTGAGTCAGGGGTGGCACACTGTTGTTCAACGCAAAGCTCACGCTCATTTAATGTAAAGTGCGAGCACTGTTCAGGCCAAGGCAATCAAGAGCTGTTGTAGACAAGGATCTGTGTATCAGAGCCCAGACCTCTACTAGGTCCAACACCCTTTAAATTTTCTGAGTTGAATGTGGCTGTTAGTGGCTGAAATTCATCTCTGAAGCCAAGCCAGGCCCCCACAAGTCCTTCTAGAGCAGCTCAGGCACATAGACCTTGTGCTGGCTTCTCTGCATGAAGGTGAGTAGTACCTTGTGCAAGCAAAGCACTTCTAACTTCACCGAGTTGTCAGCTCTGCAATCAATTTAAGGCAGACATGGTCTCTTGTTTTCTCCTCAGAGATGAGCGAGCTGATGTTTCCCCTAGAGGCTTGAAGCACTGAGCAACCGAAGTGTCGAGCACCACTGCCTGCCTGTCCTGCCAAGGGTTTGCGCAGATGACTGTAGGCACAACCAAGGTCCTCAGCCAGCAGCAGAGCCAGATGTCAGCCCAGGACTGGTCAGAACAAGACCCACACACGCTGTGGGACAGGCCAGGAGAAAGATGGGGCAACCTGAGTTGCCAGGAGCAAGCCTTGGTTTTGTGTCTAACTTGGTTTGTAGCTGGCCTTTGACCTGCCCTTGAGCTGAGGAGACGTGGTCAAGGGGAAGCAAAGGAAGATGTGAGGAATGCAGCAATGTGCAAACCATGCAGACACTGGGACGGCCCGAGGCCCCCACAGCCTGCTGTGGGAAGCAGGCTGGTTGGGGATCGGCATAGGCAGCAGTCAAGGGTCTTTCACTGAGCACAGCTCATGCTGCCAAGAGCATCCATGTTGACTCTGCTGGATGGAGCTGTTGGATCTGCCCAGCTCCCTAGGGGTCTGTGGGATTAATCAGTCAGTGTTTATATAGTGCTTTGGGGATGCACAGAGCCGTGTTGCAGCTAACTGTGAAGAGCCAGAGCTGTTAAGCGCTGTGTGGTTCCTGCTCCCCTCCTTGTTCACGTCAGGCACGTTCTGTGGGAGCCAGAGCCGGCTTGAGGGTGCCGTCTGCTGCTCATGGGGTGCAACATCTTCAGATGAGCTTCAGATCTGCAGGTAGTGGCTTCTCGTTCTCCTGAGAGGGCTTGGGGTGTGCCAGATGCCGGCTCAATACACATGCAACAGCTTAGCTCACTCCAAGGGCTTTCTTCTGCCCAAAGGAGCCGGGAGTTCTACCCGTGTCTTGCCAGCCTGCTGCTTGCTGTGTGTGTTCAAGACAAGGCAAGGGGTGACCCGAGTGCTATGTGGAGCAAACCCAAACAGCCTGTGGGACTGCTTTGGTGATGGGGCTCCCACCATGATGGGTGCCCATGAGCCAGGACCCATATTACTGGGGGACATGGAACAGAGAGCCAGGGGCATTGTGTCACCTGTGTGTAAGATCCAGGTGGGGACTGTCGTGGAGGGAGTCTCACACGTGAGACAAACTGGCCAGGCCTCCCTGGCCCCACTCACTGCTGCCGCTGGTTTTCCCAGCTTTTTCCACTCTGCCTCCTGCAAGGGTTGTGCTTGGCAATGGCTTCTGGGCTGGCTACTTGCAAGACTGCCCAGCTCAGGAGCTTCTGGGTGTTATCCAGCAGGTTCCTACAAAAGCAAGAGCAGAGAGCCCTTTATCTCCTGGGTAATCCCTCTGCCCAGCCCAGGTGCCTGCACTGGGTGGCCCCGAGGCCAGCCAGGAGGGACCCTGCTGGCTCCAGATGAGTCCTGCCATGGAGAGATCCCACAGGTCACTGGAGTGGCTGGCTCTGACCTTTCCTAAATGAGACAGGGGCCATGAGAAGCACCTATCAGCTTGGTGCCAGGTCTGACTCTTTTGCTGCCTGCCTTCTCCTTAGAATGAGTCGCAGCCTCCTGCCTGCAAGGGTTTTGGGCCAGCAAAGGGCTGGGGCGAGGGGGGCAGACAGGGCTGGAGGCTGCAGCCCCTGGCTAAGGAGGTGAGAGCTTGCCAGCATCCAGGCATGCCAAGCAGCGGCCAGGGGACTACACGGCCATTTCCCGTGCAGAGGCAAATGCTGTTCTGTGGGGCAGTGAGATGTGCTGGGCTCAGCCCAGTGAGCCCAAGGACAGAGGGGGCATTAAGACCTCAGGCTCTTGCGGCTGCACCGGTGCTGCTGCTTGAGGGCAGGGTCTTCAGGTTGTCCAGCTCTGCCTGGGCTTGCGCATCCATCTCCTGGCCTTGGGCACTCTTGGCTCTAGCCAAGATAGTGTTTTCAGTATGTCTCTGCTGGTGCAGCTTGCCTACAGCAGCGTGAGCCAAGCAACCCACAGCACTGCCTGCCCCATATGGACCCTGTCCCTCTCCTAGGGACAGCCTCCACCAGCTTCCCTGTCGCATTGCGACAGCCCACTGGTCCTAACTGAGCTGCCTTATTTCTCCTTTCCGTTGCCTCTCTACTTTGTGCCTTGGCAAGACAGCAAGAAACAAAGCTGCTCTCAAGGTGCTCTACATTCCAGTTTAGTAGCGTCAAGGGGAAGACAGATGCTTGGCAGGACATGCTTTGAATCTGGTGCCCCAGTTTGGAGCATGTCCTGCCTCTGTCTGCACAGAGTCCACGGGGACTCCCACAGCTCTTGCTCCCATGGGGCAGAGCACAGATATTTCAAAATTGCCACACCCGAAAAGACAAGCAGGTGTCCTTGGGGAGCTTTGAAAGCAGTGCAGGTACTTGAGGTGCTGTTCAGGATCCTCCAGGGTGCTTCTCTGCACCTTCTGGCACCCGAGGATGTGAGGAGGCTGGCCTACAGTCTCTGAAGCTCTGCGATGGATGAGAAGAGCCCAAAGCACCTCCTGATGTCAAAGGCAAGGACCTCGACTGTGGCCAGTGCAGCATCTCGATAGCAGCAACTTTCCTGGCAGCTGAGACCCTGGGCTCTGAACACAGCCCATGTATGATGGAAAGGACAAAGTGGAAATGAGGGCTGCCTTGTGTTTCATCCAGGCCTGGCACAGAAAAGCTCAGGAGGCTCCTCACAGGCTGAGGGAGCCTTGCTGCTCTTCATGCTGCTCTCCCAGATGTAGGCTTGGTTCTACCCGTGGTGGTTCGGTTGATGTGAAAGGGGTGGGAGCAAGAGGACACCCAGGTCAAGGGCCTTTTGTAGGTGGCTGCTGGCACAGAGAGCTGGGGATCCACCCTGACCAGTGGCTGCACAGGAGGGGAGGAGTGGACAGCAGAGACGCTCTGCCAGGCTTCAGGATGCAGATCCTCCTTTCTGACTGGTCTTGGTCCGTGCGGTGCCCTGTGGTGCAGGCATGTGGGATTCACTTACAAGTCTGTCCCTGGAAGCTGGGCTCCATTGACACCAGCCCCACACAGCATCGCACATTGCAAAGAAGCAGTGCCCTCTGGCTCTGCTGCTCTTTGTGTCATGAGCTGAACATGGAGACAAAGGAAAGAAGGGGCCACACAGAGGTTTCCCCCTACCTTAATACTGCCTGGGGCATTCCCCAGTCACTTGGAGCATTAACAGAGAGGAGAGAAGAGGGAAGGGGAAAATTCCAATCCCGGGTGCTGAGCAGGGGTGAAAGAGCTGCACTGTTGCCATTGCTTCAGTGAGGTCTGGGGGAAGAGAGACTTGCAAAGCAAACAGGGTTTCCATTCGCACGTGTGCCAGCTCTGCCATGCAGCCCAGCCCCGGCACACACAGACATGCACCACGCACGAATGCACCCACCAAGGCACCCGCAGGGCCGGACGCAGCGTGCAGGGATGCATGTGCCATGCAGCCAGGCTCCAACCCAGAGACCGAGCCCGACGTGGGTGCACCGCTCCTCCCTCCAGGGCTGGATCCCCTGCTGTGTCCTGAGCGCTATGTGTGGTCTCAGGCACATCCTCGAGAAAGCAAGCTGGAGCCCGGGCTGCCTATGGACCCCATCTGTCCTTTTGGCAAGGCATCCTCTGGGAAGGCCCTGGGCTGGGTTTCCTGCCCCACGGGAGATCTGTGGAGCAGCCAGCGTCTGTGGGGTGGCTGGCACCGAACAGGCCACCCACTCTGGATAACAAATTTACTCTTGGGGCTACTGGGGGTTAAGGAGGCTTCGGTGTGGTCTGACTGTATGTGTGGTTGGGGAGGCTAACCTGGATGATGCATCAGGTTAATGGTGCCTGTGGTATGACTCTGTCCCCTGGAAGTCCCGACACTGCCCGTCGCTTCCATGTGTTCTCGGATCAACAGACATGGGTCTAAGTCAGTGTCTGGGGCAGAAATACTGCTCAGACCTGCCTGTTCCTGTTCAACCCCTGCCTGGGGCTTCTCTCACTCCAAGGAGCTTCTTGGCCATTGGGATCCTGATCCCTCAGCGTCTTCCCTTGCACCGCTAGCTGCATGTGGAGCCAAGGGGAGGGGAGATCTGGGGACGGGGAGCACAGCCTCCCTCCCTGGGGACTCTACTCTAAGGACACTGTTGTGTCGCCTTGGGGACTGCTCCCGTGAAAACCCCCACCCTGACTGGACAGGGCTGGGAGATCACCTCCTCTCAGTGTCAACGTCTGGCTCTGGGGATGGTCCTGGAAACATCACATGGATTCCCAATAGTCCCAGATGAGCCCCAAGACTACCCAGAGCCTGCAAACAGGGCAGGAGAGGTGCATAGCCTTGGGGGCTTGCCCCACACCAGAGGCAGGAGTGTCCTGTTTGTCCCTGTCCCACTCCTCCCGTCCTCCCTCATGTCAGAGGGGCACTTCTCCACCTCTGGGACCCACTGGGCATTTCTGCCTCGCAGCAGCCCCATCTACAGCAGGGCAGGGCCTCCGTGCCCCCCAAGCACTGGGCTCAGCGGGCAGGCAGATGCATGTGGTCCCTCACCATGGCACAAGCAGGGAGAGGGCTCATCCTGCTCCAGGGAGGAGTGGGTGTCAGGGGACATTTGGGCTTGCAAAAGGACATTTCTCACACACCGGGCTCCAGAGGTGACTTCTCTATCACCAGCTTAGTCCCCTTCCTGTGCCAAGAAGGGGTCTGGATACAATCACCCCGTCCTACCCCGGAGGCCAGCCCCAAGCCCTGTTCCCTGCCCTCCGGGGCTCACACCAGCTGTCTGAGGTCAAGGTCAGCCCGAGCACCTGTGACCTGTTGGCTTGCAGGGGCACTGAACATCATGTTTTCTGGACTGGGTTCCTGCGGTCTTGGCTTTGCTGGCAAGATGCTCCTGACGGGGGGGGCTACCCCAGGCACTCGGGCCGCCAGTCACACCCCAGTGTCCCCCAGTGCCTCTCCAGCCACGCCAACAGCAGCTGCTCCCTACCCAGGCGGCTCCCGCTCCGAGTCTGGTGGCACAGGCTGCCAACCCTATCCGACGGTCCCAGGAGGGTCAGGGCGGGGAGGGAGCTGGGCAAAAGCTTCCCCTCAAAACAAGATCCCTACCTGGCCGCTGCCTGCGTCGGTCGGCCCAGGGCTGAGGGGCTGGTCCCACCTCCGTGGGGGCTCGCTCGGCTGCAGCGGGGCGGCACCCGTGTCCTCCCAGCCGAGCGGTGGGGCTGCCCAGCTGCTGGCCGGGCTCACGCCACCCAGCTGTGCCCACAGCCCTCCGTCAGGCTGTCGAGAAACGGAGGCTCATTACATGGGTGGGGAATAACGAAGGGGGGAAGTCTCGTACCCCCAGCTGTGGCCACACCCCAGGAGGTGAAGGGCTCTTGAGGTCGCATTCTGCCCCCCGGGGCTGCCTGCGCTGGGCTCTGCCGCCGTACCCGGAGGGGGAACAGTGTCAGCAGGTATTTTGTCTTTAGCTCTTTAACCTCCTAACCTTAACTGAAAGGAGGGGGGCAAAGAAAAAGAAACCAGGCCGAGAACATTTTTTCTGATGATGTTCGTGATGCAGTAAGTCCCTCTGAAATTTGATTTGCAGCCGTGGCCAGCAAGGTATTGGAAGCAGAGTGTGCTTCAATAATTCATTGCTCTTCAAAGCTTCTAAGCCCGCTGGCCACAGCCAGGGGAGCCCATGACACCTTTGCATTAAAAAGGATGCTGGTGCTTTACATACATAGACTAGTCCCGTCTTCCCCCCCCATCCAGGCCTGGCTTATTTATCTTCATTCCTCTCTCTAGGGCACAACCAGGTTTATGTTTTTCAAGCACGGCTTTTTGAAACCGCCACAATAACCTGGTGCTCTTGGTGGCAGGGGGTGGTTCGAACCAGCATTAGCCATGCAGGCTTCTGCCATGCAAGCGGGGCTGCTGGCACTGCCCTCCCAGCCCCACAGCCCTGCCCCGTGTCCGGGTGAGCAGCAAAGGCAGCCATGCCCCGTGGAGCTGCAGCTCCTACCAGTGCTCCGGGGAAGCTCTGTAGAGTGGGGCTTACTGGGCACGCCGGCACATCCTTGTGATGCGTGGATATAAAGGGTTAAGCAATAGTTATTACTGGTGACCTTCAGACCGTGGGATGGCCAGTGGTGCCTGGCCAGAGGCTGGGGAGCCATGTCCCCAGGGGATATGAGTCCCCTCGTCATGCCCAGCTGCCTGGGCACGGAGTGGAAACAGCTACATGTGGGCAGGTACGTGCCCGGCTGCCCGAGGCTCCACTCCCCCACAGCATCTGCAGGGTCTGGAGGGGCAGTGGGGCTGTTCTGGGGTCCCGCAGCAAGTGGGGATCACAGCAGAGGCTGCGCTATGGGCACATCAGCTCCTCCCCACACTGCCATGATCCAGCGCAGGGGCTGGGGGGTCCTGGGGCAGCGCTGCAGCTGGGGGGAGCTGGACCCCATCAGCACCAGTGTCCCTGCATGAGGTATGGCCATCTGTTCCTGGGGTCTCGGTGGATTTAGCCCCCCTCAGCCCTCTCCTGGCAGTGTGACTTGAGGTGGCAGCTGAACCATAGGGAGCTGTTTGATAAGGACTACTGGGCAAATAGGCGCCTACTGCGAGGGTGTCCCCTGTCTCCCTGCGCTCTCCCTGCACGGAGCAAGCCATACCCCGCTGCTGCACCCACCTGCAGGTAGTGGTAGGCCAAGTCTTGATGGCAGGACTTGGATTTCAGCAAGGCTTTGTCAATCGTGGCAGAGGCCTTCTGGCACACTTCCCGGGCATGGCTGAGTGTCAGCGTGGACCAGGAGCCCCTCTTAATGTAATTGGAGTCATTGTTGATGGGGATATTGGTGCAAGGGGTGACCTTGAGGTCGTTATTGCTCTTGGAGGATTTCAGCATGTGCTCGCTGATGGTATTGTAAGCGTGCATGAAATACTTCGGCTGGCTGTGGTCCGGCTGCCGGCCCAGTGTCATGAGGCCCATTGGGTTGCGGTAGCTGCAGGTATCGCTGTCTAAGTTGTCGTCTGAGCTCCACCAGCCCGATATGTTGGATCTGGTCCTGCGCTTCGGCTCGGAGGTCTTAGCTCGGTCTTTGCTCTTGCTCCTCCGGTTTTGCTTGGGATCATCCGCCCCCTTCTTGCCATTCACATTGCCTTTGGTGGGGCCCTCCAGAGACTGCGACTTGGCAAATAGCTTCTGGACAGAATGGACGAGGTGTCGGATGCGCCCAGGGCTCTCGCTCCGGTGCTTTGCATCGCTCCTCTGAAATTGGAGGGTGCTGAAGCCGTCTCTGTGGATGGGCAGCTGCTTCTCAAACTGGTCAAGGAGGTTTGCAGGCAGGCGATTGATTTTAGTGGCTTGGGCATGGCTTGGAAAAGGGTTGTCATCTGGGACCTCGAAGTGGGAGTTGTAGTGGATGCGGGGAAAAGTGCTGCTGTTGGAAATCTGGTTGTTGAGTGGGAGGAGACAGTCTCCATGGAGGGTATTCTGGGCTGGGAATCGGGGGTCCATGGTGAAGGAGTCAGTGGGGCTGAGGAGATAAGGGTTCCTGTCCTGGGGGGCATAAAGAGAGTCTTGAGGGGAGTCCAGGTTATCGGAGAGGTGACGGCTTCTGTTATCTCCTAAGCCTTTCATGGTCCCAGTGTTTCCTAGACCATTGCTCAGGGATGGTGAGGCAGAGCCCTTGCAGGAGCGCTGACCCTGCTCCCCTGCAGACTTCCCTGCACCTGGAGGAAGAGGACAGATGCTCAGAGCCTTCCGAGAACCTCTTTGGCAGCCAACTCTCACGGGGGTGTCCTCGCGAGGGCTGTCCCAGCTCTAAAAGCAAATGCCACCAAGGTTAAGTGATGAAGGAGAGAAGCAGGATGGGAGAGAGATGACAGGGCGGGATGGGAGGAGAAGGGGCATGAGACCAGGGGCTGGAGAGAACAGGGTACAGGAGTGGAGGAGGGGAAGAATTAGTTCTTTCTATTTGCAATTTAAGTGCTTGTGTGTCTCAGTGCTCAACTACAGGCTGCTTAAATAATGCTGCTGCTATTTTTCTGGTCTCTACACATGTTTATTTAATAAAGTCCCTTCCCAGCCAGTGTAACAAAGGCTAGCAGAGGCACCACCAGCAAATCACTGCTCCTGTCCCATTTGTTCAAGGGGCTAGAGAAAAAACCTGCTGTCAAAACCTGCACATGAGCCTTGCCTGAGCCAAGGAAAGTCTGGAGCCTAGCATCCCATCTTCTGCATTATGCTTCGTGTTTGTGTGGTTACTGGATCTTGCAAGGGGGGCTGGCAGCCCTGCTCTGTGTGTTGTGTGCGGCTGCACTAATGAGATACGATGTCAAATGTCTCCTCTCCACCAAGTGCCCTGGTTTATAGCATGTTTTACCCCAAAGGAAATTGTTTCAGTAGCTACAAGGTGTTTCTGAACACTCAGAGCATGACCTGAGAAGCTGTTTGCTGCTCAGCTGATCTTTTCTGCCTTGCTGCATTGCTCCTGGGGGAGCTGTGTCACCCTCCGAGCCTGGCTGGCTGTCCCTTGCTACAGTCCTCTGCCACAGCAAGGGGCTGAGGTTGTCCATCTGGGGTCCATTCAGCAGGCACAGGCACCCCTGCAGGGTCCTGGAGGGGGGCAGCTGGGCACAGAGGATCCCCTTCAGGCAGGGGAGATCCTCACTGAAGGTTTCTCAGGTGCACTTACCTTGTCCTGCTCGGCTCAGAGTGATCCTCAGCTGCGCTGGGTTATACAGGGAAAAAAGACAGACTTTTTGGGGCTGCTTAAAGAAAATCAATGAACATATAGATGAGTTGCATTGTCAATCAATTAGTGGGTTTTCTGTACTTAAATCCTATTTAAAATCATGCAATGTGCAAACTAGTTCGTATTTCCTTTTACCTTTTAATTTAGTTTCTTATTTCCTTTTTTAATTTAGTTGAGTGTTACTTAAAGGCAACTCGCAAACACTGAGGCAACCTATGGGTGTGAAATCCAGAGAATGAGATCCTAGACTACTTATTCAAAATTCAGGGCCCCCCAACATGTACATGTAGATGAATGGCTACTCCTTGGTAAAATGAAACTGGGAAGACAGGGATCTCTACAGAAGAGCTATTTTCCAACAGGAGGATGATCCAATGGAAGGGGAAATAGTGCCTGGACCCTCAGGCTCTCCAGTGAGTTTCTGAGAAAGAAAACCATCCTTTCCTTATTCCTAGAGAACAAGTAGGATAATGGTGTGTCCCTGTGAGAAGAAGAGCTGGTAGTCTGGGCTCCTGGGTTCTCCCTGTTCAGCCACAATTTTGAGTCTGGTCTCCCTAAGGAGCTTGTCCTCCTGCATGCAGTCGGGTCAGCAAAAGCAGCTAAGACCAAACTGGTGTGGGGAGCGGAGTCAGCAATCACTGAAGGATGATAGGAATTGACAGGCTTGTTTTTCTTCCTCATACAGGGAAAATGTATTAATAATGAAAAGCTCCTGGGGCTTTAAATAATTATTTGGAAGCACAAAAAAAAAAAGGAGAAGTGCAATGTATTCCATAGCTTGATGGGTTTTAAAAAGTCTCCGTCTCACTCTGTTGCTCCCAGCGGGTTGGCAAAGCAAAGGCAGTCTCTCTCAAGCACTGGTTTGCAGACACCAGGCAACGCAGCTGGAGCTCCCCACTCTGCTCCAGCAGAGACTCCTGCTCCTGTGAATCCTGCTCCTGGGGGGGGTCCTGCCAGCCGCCCCCACAGCCGAGTGCACTTCTAGGCACGGCCAGCTGCCCCCAGCACCCTCATGAACCTGCGTGGCTCTTGTCCCCAGGGGATCCTGTGCCCCACACAAGGCTTGCTAGGTCCTGTCCCCCATCTCCCGAAACCCACCTGTACGGCCCCTTGGGGTGGGTCCTCTCGACCTGTTGCTGACCTGGGCCCTGCAGCTGGTCCAGCTGCCTTCACCTACAGCCTGGTGTCCTTCCGCATGGCCTGGGCTTTGGTGGTGTGGGAGAGATGATTTAGCCCTCAGGCCTCTCCATTGTGTGGACAGTGTCCATGTGCTTTGGGGATGAGGGCATGGCTGTTATCCTGACCTGAGCTGGGGGAGCTTTGATACCAAACCTGCCCTTCTTCCCAAATCCCCAGTGCAACATTGGCCTTGACTGGTGTCCAGCTGCTCATGGTCCCCGCGGGTCCCATCCTTTTCCCGTTGTGCTCGTCGGCAGGTGGGTGCATCAGCCTCTCTGGAGACCCTTGCCCGTGGGACAGCACCCACGTGTGCTGGTGGAGCAGTGCTGGGTGTTGGCTGGAGAAGTGCCACTGAAGAGACACTCGTGGATGTGCCGGGCAGCCCTGCTTCTGCCTTGTGCAAGGTGGCATCAATCAGCACAGTGGTTAAAGAGCAGTGAGAAAAAGACCCAGAAGATGGTCTCAAAGGAAACCCTCTGGACAGAAGAGAAGGATGCAGCGTAGAAGGACAGGCTTCAGATTAAGCTATCTGTCTGGTCCTTTAAATTCCAGATGCCCATGACTGCTCAAGCTGAACTCTGCCTGACTTGGGGGGGGAAGTCCTACAGGTAGCAGGGAGCCCAAATGCTCCCTGAACACCACCCTGATCTGCCCAGGCTCAGCTTGGCCCACTGTGGCCTCTTTCTCCCTTCTTTCCATGGGCCTGCTACAGACTCCCAGCAAGGTCCTTTGCTCGGGCTCAGCTGCCTGAGGTGATCCCGGTTCTGATGGATGCTGTGCTTCTCCCGTCACATTACGCTTGCAGGAGTCAGACAGTCCCTAAGGAGACAACACAGAGCTGATTTAATTATAAGGGGATGTCTCTGGGTATTGATAGTAAATACATCTTTTCCTACAAAGGCCGATCAATATTTGAAGCAGAATTCTCCCAGGCACTCCTGAGAGACACTTCAGCCTCATGACTGCTTTGCCATAAAGCACATCAGCATCACTGCTTTTGTGTTCACTGGGCTCCAGAATAAAGGAAAACTGCCTTAGGACTAAAAATAAATAGGGAAGTTAAATGAAATTAAATACAGGAAATGAAAAGAAATGAAATTTAGTGAAATCCTGGCTTGCAAGGGAAGAGCGGGGCTGGGGCTGGACTGGCTCAGGGTGGCTCAAGAAGCAGAGGGGCAGGGAGGAGTGACTGAGGAGCTGTGGGGACAAGCAGAAGGGAGGAAAAGTGAAGTTTGAGGCAGAAAGGATGGAGGGGTGGGAGCAGAAGGGATGAGAAGGCAGGGAGCAGTGGTGGGCAGGGAGCTCCCTCTCACCCAGGCTGGTGTGCTCTTGGCAAGGGTGGACACTCATTTCTATATGGCAGATTGTTTATTGCCCCCTTTTCCTCCTGTGGGCTCTTGAAGGGCTGCCAGCAGGTCCTGAGCCTCCTGCCTGTCCTGCTTGTCCTGGACATCCCTTCACTCGATGGCCAGACACAGTGCAGGGTGCCAGCCTTGCTGCTGGGCATGTGTCAGGTCAGGGCTGGGGGAGCAGTCAGGACTCCCAAGCCGCTGGTGCCCAACATGTGTTTCCTGCATCCTCTGTGAGCTGGTTTCCCTTTAAGATGGATTAAACTGATTTTATTACATTTCAATTACTCTCTGCAATCCTTGGCGCTTTCTTGAGATGTGGGGTCAGGGAAGGGAAAAACCCAACAAGCCTCTTTCCCACAGTCTTTCTAATTCAGAAGGATGAAAACATTGAAATTAAATCTGCCAAATCCGTGATCCTGCAGCTTGCAAACTGGGCCAGGGCTGTCTCCCAGGGCAGCTGCCCAGTGCCCCTCCTGTGTCCCCCTGCCCCGAGTCAGGCACCATGGCAAGGAGGTGGACAGTCTGGACCACAGAGAAGGCACCCAGACTGGTCAGCAGGAGAAGACCCTGGTCAGCAGGTGGTCAGAGCAGGGGCTGCCAGGGCATGGAGAGGATGTACCCCTGAGCCCCTTCCCCTCAGCTGGTGTTTTTTCGGAGTTGCCCTTCCTCTTCCCGGTGGCTTTGCTGATGCTCAGAGGTCTTTGAGGTGCAGCACGTGTTTTGACTTGATTTGTGGCAGTTTTGTGTGTCTCAAACCACTCTGAACCCAGGAGAGAATCATCTTCCTCTTGGGCACGGTTTACAACAGCAGCACTGGCACTGCATGTTTGCAGGCTCAGACCAGTTGCAATGAATTCACTTACTCCTGTAAAATACATCTGAAGATTCAGAAACTGAGCAGTAGATGAAATCCCAAATTATAGAATCATAGATTTGCAGAATGGTTTGGGTTGGGAGGGACCTTAAAGACTATCCAGTGCCACCCCCTGCCCTGGGCAGGGCCCCCTTCCCCCAGCCCAGGGGGCTCCCAGCCCCGTCCAACCTGGCCTTGAACCCTTCCAGGGAGGGGGCAGCCAAAGCTGCTCTGGGCACCCTGGGCCAGCGCCTCACCCCCTGCACAGGGAAAGATTTCTGCATTAGATCTCATCTAAATCTGCCCTTTTTCAGTGCAAAACCGCCCCCCCTCGTCCCATCCCCACCCCCTGATCCAGAGTCCCCCCCCACCTCTCCTGCACCCCCTTTAAGCCCTGGGAGGCCGCTCGAAGGGCTCCCCGGAGCCTTCTCTTCTCCAGGCTGAACCCCCCCAACTCTCTCAGCCCGGCCCCCCAGGGGAGCTGCTCCAGCCCCCCCAGCATCTCCGTGGCCTCCTCTGGCCCCGCTCGAGCAGCTCCGGGTCCTTCTGCTGTTGGGGGCCCCCGAGCTGGCCCCAGCACTGCAGGGGGGG